GTCCATGCATTTTCAAAAACCTTTTCATAAATAAAATTCAATCAACTTAATAATACCTTGACATTTATTTAAGAAGACTAAAAGTCAATCAATCTCATTTCAAATCATTTTGCCACTTTGGCTTTTTATTTTAAAACCTTTCTCAAAAGATTAGACTCTTGTCAATCCTTGTAGTGATGCAAACAACTATACTTCTACAATATGTAGTGAAGAGAGATATTTTACACTTGAGTGTTGAGTGAGGCATTGTTGATTTTAAAATCCAAGCCATATCCTCCACTTTGAGATGATACAAATTCTCCTTTCTCATGATTGTGGGTAGTAAGTATGTTTTTGCCACACGACAATGACGATGATGTCTTATCTCATAAAATTAACCAACACATTTGTTCTTTTTAGAATTTTTAAAAGGTGAACTATGTGTACCCTGATCCCCTATTACATGAAAGATGGTACATAGGCACTAAAGGTTCACAACCGCAGCGGGTGCAAAAATAATAGAAAATATACTTCTTTTCTCACCTCCACCATCTATTTTTTATACAACATTTTATAGCCAAAATATATAGATTTTTCAAAGAGGTTCCTGCGGAGTACCGTAGATGTTTAGGGTGCCAATACCTTCTCTTTTCATAATCAACCCCCTTACCTTGAATGTTTCCCCCTCTTTTTGGGTTACTCGCTCTTTTCCCATTCCTTTGGAAACAATAAAGCACAGTGGCGATTTTTATTTTGATTTGTATAAGTCTAGTCAATCTAATGGCTTAGTCTTAAACATTTCTACCGCTACAATTAGGATTCTCTATTGTTTGATTTTTAGTCTTTCCATACAAACTCTAATTACTAGCAATTATATTGAAAGCGATAAATTGCGGAAATTTAAAGTTCTACGCTATTACATCTTTTTTGGGGATGGGTACAAATTTACAAATGGGGAATGAAAGAAATTAAAACCTAATTACTATTACAATCATATTGAATAATGATTAACAATAAAAATATAAAGAAATATAAAGATAATGTAAAAAAAGAAAATTGTTTTAAAAAAAACTTTTATGTATTGACACATACACTTACGCATTGATACGAAAACTTTTATGCATTGACGCATGTACTTATGCATTGGCTCGTATCTGCTTTGTATCGGCACATGCACTTATGCATCGATACATATCATTCCATTCTCCTGGAAATCAAAATCAACTCAGTATGAGTCAATACATAAAGGTTTGTTTCGGCTCATAACCTGTTTTGCATCGACACATGCACTTATGCATCGATACATATCATTTCTTTGCTCCTGGAAGTCAAAACAAACCCAGTATGAGTCGACACATAATGGTTTGCATAGACTCATTTTTGTTTTTCATCGACTCATTCGCATTTTGTATCAACTCATAACATGTTTTGTACCTAATATGTGTCGACACATAGAGTTACGCATCGACTCATACTGCTGTTTTTTACTTCCAACATTTTTCTGCTGCATATATGAGTCAGTTCTCAACACATGGTTAATGAAAATGAAAAGTAAACATATAGTTAGCTTCAGGGTAATGATATCTACATTTTATCTTCACAAATGAACCACTAATGATGCTTGTATGAAGAGTTCAAAGTCAATAAAACTTACCTTAAAACTGAAATTTCTGTTTTGATTTAGAGTTGTTGTATTGTCTTGGAGAAGTCAAGTGGCTGTTTTTTGAGTTTGGAGAATGGTGATAGTGATGTTACAGAAGTTGCTCTTGTGTTTGAACAACTTCTATATGATGTATATGAAGTATATGGATGGTTTTTTTAGGGAAAACTTCTAAGGTTTTGGAGACTCAAAGGGTTTGGACTTCAAAGCTCAAAGATGGAGGTTTTATGGACAATTCTGGTTTTTAGAATATAAGGGGTTTTGAGTACTAGTTTCTCTTTATCTTTTTTTTCCTGACCTCTTTCTCTTGCAAATGCTCTCTCTATTTATAAGCAAGAGGTTTGGGAACAAGAGCTGATTAGGTTTGCAAGACAACATGTTATGGTTTGGTTGGGATGCAAATATTAAACTATGTCAATTCTTCCATGGTCCCAAGGTGAAGTACCAAAGTTGCTGGTATAGAGAGGCTACTTTCCATGATTTATGGTGGAGTAAAATTAGAAGTAAACAAGGTATGGGCTCAAGATAAATTTGTACCAACAAGCTTGCTTTTCAAGAGTAGCAATGGTAACTTGTTACCCTAAATGGCAAGTTATTTGGATAATGACTTGTATCTCTTGGGAAATGGACTTGTATCTTCACCAAAAAGACTTGTAATTCACCAAAGACTTGTAATTTATCATACTTGTATCTCTTTTAGGGTAACAAGTCCATGCCCTTGTATCTTCACCAAAAAGACTTGTAATTCAAGGATGGATGCCCAACTTCATGCCCTTGAATCTCCTAGCTCAAGTATGATAAATTCATGCTCTTGGATGTTTTGGAAAGCTTGAAACATCCTCTATAACTTTTATGTTGGTCATTTTGACAAAATCATATTGGAAATATGTGAAAAAATGCCAAGAAATTGGGATAAAATCCGGACCAAAATCTGTTAAAAATTTCTCTAAGTGTTAGATGAAAATGTCATGACTTCATGGACTTATATCTTCAAATTTAAGCATTTTTTGGACATCAACCCTCTAATACAAAGTTGTAGAATTCATCAAGATCTACAACTTCCATGTTGAAAGTTTCCTTTGAATCATTTTGCATCATGGTGAAAAATTGGTATGAAGTTATGAAATAAACATGTATAAAACACTTAGAAAAATTTCTAAGTCTTGGAAAGTTTGACTTTTCAAATTGACTTTTGACTTTCTTGACTTCTTGATGATCAAGCTTGATATTCTTGAATGTCTTGATGAATTTTGATCTTTGAAACTTAATGTTGAGCAAAAAGTCAAAGTTTGACTTTTTGTGTATCAGTTGTCTTTTTCATCAGTTGACCAAATTTCATCTATCAATCCAGTGATCTTGAGAAATGTTTTGAGCCATGAAATTAGGTCAAAATGATGTCCTTGAATCCTTGATATCATGTTTCAAACCAATAACTCATGTATTAATAAAAATTCAAGAATCAGTCATTCTCAATCAAAACCTTAATTTTGACCATTTTGCCCTTTTGATGATTTGAACATTTTTTCTTGAGGAATTGTGATTCAAACTTGATCAATTAATGCATATGACTTCAAAATGTTGACATTGGTCAAAAATCTTGAAGTTTGACTGTAAGTTGACCACAATTGATTTTTTTTTACCCAATACAGTTTATTTTAGGTCATCTGATCAATTAACTGAGCAACTTTGTGATGCAAGACTTGAAACATGACATGCGTATTCTTGAAGGTCTAAAATGATCCATGAAAATAATTTAAAGCATTACAAGTCCAATTGTCCTTGTGAAAATTCAAACCCTAATTTGAGGCATCAATGTTGAGGAGATGGCTTGACCTAGTCCACACTTGTACAAGCTTGAGCTATTGAAGATCTTGTGAAAAATGTTTTGAGAAATGAGAGGGAAAATTTTGGGGTACAACACTATGATATTTCGATTTCTTGAGAGAGAGAGAGAGAGAGAGAGAGAGAGAGAGAGAGAGAGAGAGAGAGAGAGAGAGAGACCATTGGGATGAGATTTTGAGATTCAGACAAGAGAAGGAAGAGCTTGGGCAGCTACCCTATCTCGCCGGGCGCTGGCGTCGCCCCTACCTACAAGAGATCTATTGTGGCGAAGAGGTATAATAGCGGGGAATGGGAAAATAAGATGTGTTTTTGTGCGACAGAAGATGAGTCTTCTAGTCATTTGTTTGAGAGGTGCGATGTCACTAGGAGAATTTGGGACAAAGTCGAAAGGTGGGTAGGTTGTTCGGAGGAAATCACAGGGGAAGAGTTAAGACTTTTTATTTCAAATAGTCACAAAATCAAGAATATAGAAGATAGATTAACAGTAGGGGTGATTTAGTTAACGGTTGTGTGGAACCTTTGGATGATGAGAAATGTGGTAAACCTTTATTTTTGACAATTTTATGACCGCTATTATTTTAAATTCTTGGAGGTGATTTAGTACTGTTAATAGAGGAGTAATTTTTATTTTTTGAACATTATATCTCTTTAATGTATAATGAGGTAAGGGTGTGCCTTTTTTTTAATGACTCTGAATTGAAGTACTTCTTGCAATCAATTTGAGATTTAATCAATGATTCATTCCTTATTGGAAGAAAAAAAACACCATTTAAAATACTAATAATAGAATATTAAAATCTAGAAAGGATGACAACTATAATCTTACACCTGATGGGACCTGAATACGGCAATAATCTGACTGTAGCGGATTCATTTTCCACCTGATGCTATCCAAAAAAAAAACTCAAACACTTTATCTCATAGACAGAAAAGAGAGCTTCTCTCACTAACTGATTAATCATTTCACGTGCATTGTTTATTACTCCTACAAAAGAATGTCACCTAAATAACCTCTTGAAATATTTTCAAGCATAGATCATGTAAAAAAACTACATGATATTATGCCCAAGAGTTTAAATGCAGGTCGCGTTGTGGTTTTGTGAAGGTGTTGTGACAATGATTGCAGTTGTAACAGTGTGAATTAACTACAATTGGTTCTTTAAATAAAAATGATAAACAACAGTATAATTATCAATGTCTTCTAATAGCATTTTGTCACCGTTGTTTTTGCAGTAACGAACAGTTTTTTAAAAACCTTGATTATGCCTATATCCAAGTTAGGTAACAAAGAATCACAGTTCTTAAATATAATTTAACATCAATGATACCATATCCTTTGTGCATAACATCTTCCATAGTTAAAGAAAATGCACAAATGTAACAGTAAATGTTGTAGGGAGATGATTAAACTTAACCTGTAACAAATGTAACAAACAGCAAGACACACATTTAACATACATAACATACATACAAGCTTACATATAAGTTTATAATTCAATAAGAGTTTGTTCAACCAACTCTAATCTTCCTTGGAAACGTCTCCTACCTTCTCGGGAGCATCAATTTCCGGTGAAGCGATAAGCATTTCCATCTTCTCAGGTTCATCTATGTCAGGTGAAGCTACAAGCATTTCAACGGGAACTTTGGAAACATCGCGGCGAACACCAATATCTGAAACCAATCGACTCACACAGTACATGGTGTACCCAACAGCAGCCAAACCACTGAAACTGGTTGTCATGAAACGAAGTGGTGTAGAAACCACGGTACTAGCCGCAGCCAAGCAGGATGCTGCTTGTCCGCTGCGGCCTACACTGATGCTTGTGGATATAAGCAGACCTGTTTTGCAGTAAACTGCGAAGTCTTCGCAGTTATTATTGAAAACATTGTAACCACCAAATCCATTTTCAAGAAGAAAAGAAGCGCGGCGAAGGACGTCTTCATTTGGATCAGCAACTGCAAGGGTGCAAGTACCGCCTCGAGCTTTGGCCAGAAAATATGGAGCTGAGACACCATACTCGAAAAGGTAGAGACTATCACCAGAGAGGAAACAATCCAAACAGGAAGAGATGACACCATCAGTCTTATTTTGGTCACCGCATTTTGGGCATGGAGTGTCGGTATCTTTGGCGGGTGATGAACTGCAAAGGAAACGGTCCAACACAGTTCCTGTTCCAATTTCTTGCCCTCCTCCCCTTGTGAAGTGGTTCACCATTCCATCACCAACATAAATTCCTGAAATTTTGCACAAACATAGTTAGCAAAAACAATATGACAAATTCGACATAATCACACATTATAGATCAACACCACAAGATTTAACGTGGCAATAACAGATAGCAGCCAAGATCTATGTAGCACGACATTTTAGATCAAAGGTGTTTCAAGTGTCAGTGTCCGACACCTACACAACATCGACGCATATTATATAGTTGTTAAAAAGTCTCACACTGGATGATGAGATAAGGTAAACATGTGTCTATGTTGCCTATGTGTTCGTGTCCCTCTCAGATGCTTTACACGCCCAGAGTTACAAAACAGCACAACGAGATCACCCGAATAACCATGAGAAAGCAAAACCACCACTCCCTCTAAAATTCGAGGAGATCCAAAGATTCCAAGTTCCAACATATAAGCATTATTATCATCCCTACATTTAAATCTATGGCCAGCTTTGATTAATTTTACAGCAACTACGTTGAATAGTTGCTTCAGAATACTGAATTTCAACTATTGCTGTTAAACTACACCGCAAACCCAACACATCCACAAGTAATTTTCCAATACATCAACAAATTAATAAAACTACTAGATCCCAACGTCAGCAAAAACAAAAATTAAAAACAAAAAATAAAAAACATACCCAGAATCTATTTCGTGAAATTAAAGCAAAAACAAAAGCAAACAACAAATACCCAGAAAGAAAAACACAAAAAAAATTCAAACTTAGAGGAGAAATGAGTAAGATACCGTGATGAGCATAAATGTACGCTTGTCTCCATGAGTAAATATGATCACCAGGCTTGAGTTGTTCTCGATCGATCTTATTGGAAAACACTCCCATTTCACTCTTGCAGTTTATCTCTTTCGATCTCACTCTTCCTTTTTGTTTCTCTACCTTCAAACAGAAATGGATTTTCCTTAGAGTAGAAGGAAGAGAGGGGAAAAAAAGAGAATCTGAAATGGTACGGTACCGAATCTTATGAATTATGTTCTCCGTGTTCGATTTTTGGGAAAGCCAAGTCACTCGTAAGTTTTCATTTTTTTCTGACAACATATTACGACAAAATAAAAATAACTCAAAATCTATTGTTTGGATTTTTGTTTTTTTTAGATTCGTGTACGAAAAAACTAATCACTTAAATTTTAATTTTTGTAAAAACCATTTTTTAATTTAAATATGTATTTTTTTTAATCACTTATAGTTAGTCTTTAATTTTTCATAAATAGTTTGAATTTAATGATTGATCTATTAGAATTTGTAAGTGGGTTGGAGGATGATCTTTGACGGATTGGAAAATTGAGGAGAAAATGGGGTTGTACCTGCAAGACACTCTGACGATCAAGTAAGTGTGAGAGTAAAAAGATACAAGCAAAGTATTAGAGTTTCAGAGATGAATTGTGAATAACTGGCCCTCACAAGTGTGAGGATTTATATAATACCCCTGACGTGGTAGTCATTGTTTCTTATTTTTGGACCTAGATATTCGGGTCCGTGAAAATAGGAACTATCAGGACTTGGTCAAACCGAGCAGTGTGCATGTAACTAGCCGTTAGTTCCAAGGAAAAGGTAGGTTACGGGCGGTGGTCTGGTCGGTTCCTGGTTGTCTGGTTAACTTGGTGTCGGGCAGACAAAGAAGTGTCAGTCGGACGTCGCTGGTCTCCTTGGCCTAGGAGATCGCTCGACTGGTGGTGCCCGACAGAGGGCGGGAAGTTCGGGTCATGGCCGAACGAGTTGCGCTGAAGGTGGAGAGCAGACTTGGCCCACTCTGATTGTTGGGCCAGTCCATATTAGTAGTCCACCGAGTCATTGCTTTCGGGCAGAGAGTGATGACTTTAACACTTGCTCGCGACACGGGGGGGGGGGGGGGGGGGGGGGGGGGGGGGGTCCTCATATGGAGTATGCGTGGCGCTCGTCGTGTTCGGCTTGCGGAGAGATGAACAGTTGAGCGGTTCGACTTTGAAAGTTGAAGAGTTAGCATGTCATGCGTGTCTTAGGTCACGTGCTATCATGGAGGTGCAATGATGGCAGGCTTAGGGACTAGGGTGCAATGATGACGACCATATGTCTCCCTAGGTGCGTGCCCCTTACATGCAGAAGAGTTCAACTATAAATAGGAGAGAAGTAGCACACTTTGTATTTTTTTCACTTCAATCCTCTTGCTCATTGCTGCTCGTCTATCGACCTATGAAGTTTTTTACAGATTTTTGCTATTTGCCGCTGTTTCTTCCATCTTCCTCCCTCCTTTAACTGGCAAGCTTTTAGATTTTTCTTGTATCTAGCTGATTTAGCTCCCGTTGTAGCTTAGATTTCAAAGATTTCTTCTTAGAAATGCATGCGGTTAGGTTTAGGGCATTGTTTGTTGGGAGGTTCTTAGGAGAGTGTTGGTGGCAGACGACGGTTCTATGGGTTAGGATCGGCGGAGACGCCGTAGGTTTTTCCTAGGCGATACTGGAATACTAGTGGCACTTTTGATGAATCGTAGGTGATTCTTGTTGGTAGCTTAGACTCTTTCCTTAATCTTAGCTCATCTTGTCGAGAAGGAATAAGTGTCTGCTAGACGAGTGGGGGCTCTAGTCGGGGATAGGGTCCTTGTTCCTCAGTGCCCTTTCAGTTGATTAGTGGTGGAAGGGTGGTTTTGACATTGATGTCGACCTCACCTCTATCCTTTGCTTTTTAGGTACTATGGTTGATAATGTTAGAAATGACCTCCCCGACGAGCCCGTCGGATCCTCCCAGAGTTCTACGGACGAGACCCCTAGTAAGTCGAGCTCCTCGGGGGTGTCAGAGCCTGAATTTAACATGTCCGATCAATATGTCATGGAGGAGGACGTTGAGATGGCCCCTGCTAACCAGGGAGGCCTATTTGCTCGGGAGGATGACGATGATCCAAGGACTTGGCTCGCAGCGGACCCATGGGAGCATGAGCCCTATTTTGTCAAGAATCCGACTGACGTTTTCACTGTGGTGGACTCGTATATGGATGGTGATGACGACCACGGGGAGTGGTCGGTATAGATTTCTGGAAAGACGAGTCGGATCTGCTCGCGGTATGACAAGCGGCGGATCCCAATGTATGATATCCTATTTCGGGAGATCGGCCTTCATCTGCCCTTTACGGACTTTCAGGTGTCCGTTTTTACGAACCTTCGACTGGCTCCCTCTCAACTGCACCTGAACTGGATTTCCTTCATGCAGGAGTTTGAGATTGTGTGCGACTACTTGAAGATAGGCGCCAATATCCCTTTGTTCTTCTATTGCTTCCATCTTCAGAGGAGTAAGGTCAACGACCTGCATGGATGGGTCGCCTTGAAGCAGGCCAACGGAAAGTTATTCAAGGCTTACCTGGAGTCCGTTAGATTTTTTAAGGACAAGTACATGCTCGTAGAACCTATTTCGGGCAGGGCCATGCGTAATGTTTTCCGGCTTACCCTGGTGTATAACGAGGAAGGGGCTTCTATCCTAGACGAGCCGGAAGAGCATCAGAGCAAGTTGGTCCGTAAGTTTCCTTTCCAGTGGACCAAGAAGCATTTTGACATGAATCTCTATACCTATGTGTGGAAAGAGGGGAAGCTTGGTGACGAGAACCATACCGGCTTTAACTATTTGACAACTTTCGTTGCGAGGAACACTCGCATTCAGTGTGCGGGCTGAGGAGGGAAATCGGTCACTGGAAAGAATGGGGAGATTGTATATGAGACGAGCCTGATAGGCGTCAAGGAGCACCTCGAAAGCGAAGATCGTGTTGTGTACTTGGGTATTTTCTTTATGTTTCGAATAATTTTTATGTGCTCGACGTTTATGTTTGTTGTACCCCAAAATTTGCTCTCTCATTTATCAAGGATTTTCTCACAAGATCTTCCATGACTCAAGTTTGCAGCACTGATACATCAATTTGGGTTTGGAATTGGCACAAGAGCAAAATGGTCAAAATGCACACTGAAAAGTCAAACTTCGACTTTTTAATCAAAATCAAGTTTCAAGAATCACATTTCATCAAGACATGGTAGAATATGAAGTTGGTTCATCAAGAAAATCAAAAGTCAAAATTACTTTGGAAAAGCCAAAGTTCTAAACACTTAGAAATTTTTTTAAGTGTTAAGAAAATATGATAAGTTCAGAACTTCTGGCCAGATTTTCATCATAATGCAAGATGATTCAGGAAGAACTTCTGACACAAGAGTTGTAGATCTCAATGAGATCTAAAACATTGCAGAACAGAACTCCTCCTAGAAATACTGGGATTTCAAGTTATAAATCCTTGAAGACACGTTCATGAAACTAAAACACTTAGTAAATTCTAAGCATTTCCAAGTCAGAATTTGATTAGAACTTCTGGGCTAGTTTTCACATAGGTACAATCAGATTTTGCAAAAGTGATTCAAAAAGGGGTTACAAATAATGTTACAATCTTTCTAAAAAGTCTGGGAACTCCTTCAGATCATGCTGGAGCAGGGAGAATCAAAGATCATAAGTTAGACATTTGTTCTTAATCTAAGCTTACGTTTATGCTGAACTTCTGATCCAGTTTCAGGCTATGCTGCATAATCTCATATTGCAAGCCTTCTTGCTTGTTAAATCTCATCATCATTTAATGCTTATAACAACTTTTGAGTCCTTATCCCAGTATTTAAGCCTTTATCCAAAGGATCCTCCCACGTGTGGCATAAAAGTACCACTGTTGTCCTTGAAAAGTAAACTTTTGTACAAGTTTATTTTGAGCCCATACTTTACTTTGTTTTTGAGCGTACTTCCCTATAAATCATGCCTACAAACTCAATTTAGGCGTGTTTAAAGCTGCTAACCATCCTACCTTGCCCGGAAACCATGCTTGTCTAAACTTGCTTAAAAAACAAGTCAATGATCTATAACACATGATTGTTGTACTCCTGACTTCTCCAAGCTTCTAAATCCTTTGCCTATAAATTAATCTTCATTTGCAAACTGAAAGGAGATTGGAAAAAAGCCCTGAAACTTTGTTGAAAATTCCCAAGAACTGAAACTGCAACACAAACACAAAACCTGCTAGTTTTTAGATTTTGCATCCAAACTCTAGTTTTCCTTGTGCGTTTCTTGGCCAAATCATCCACACATTTTCTGATATACACGTAGAAGCTTTCCCAACTTCTGTTTTCAAACTGAAATACAATCTTCACCAATCTTCATTTCAAAATTAGAACTTTTCATCTTGACTGCTCCAGAGCATTCCAACCATCCATAACTCAAGTTAAGGGTTGTTTTAGCTTTCTGAGAACTTGAGGAAGCTGACCAGAAAATCACAACAATATGAACCAGGCTCTAACTTACAAAACAATCTCCAGCTGCAAGGTAAGTTTCTTCTGATTTTCATCTCATTACTTAGGCATTGTTAGGCTTGCAATTTCAAAGACATAATGTAGATATCATGGCTCTGAATTTGTACATATTTATAGATTTCATTTATATGGCCTAAGTACAGAGAATTTCATATCAGAACTTCTTGAGGAAATTAGGGTTCACAATTAGGATTAGAAAAATTCATGCTTGCTTCTGGTTTACAGTTTTGATACTTTGTATTTCTGAAACCATGATAAAATTTTCCATAACTTCTATGTTTTCATTTTCCATTTTTTTTGTTGAGAAATGACTAAGTTGCAGGTACTCTGGCTGACGCGAAGAAGAAGATGAAGTTCATTATCAAAACTTACTTTGTAATATATATTTATGTTTTTGCTTCTAATATCGGATGTATGTCCACCCCAGTGGTAGAGAGCGCGCACATAAGGCATTAGTGTTAAGGGTCCTGGGTTCTAGCCCCAGAAGCATCTTTTATGTTTATTTCTTAACATTTTATTTTACTCCAT